CCACTCGTAACGACACCACACTACTGTTACTTATTCTCTGCCCAAAGAATTTATGTGACTTTCCTTTCCACAGGCATGACCTTTCTTCGCTTCGCTCTGAGGATTGCTATTAATATATAGGGTGTTTACTGTAACAGCTTGCCAGCCGATTGATTAAAATTTATCTGTGAGAAGTAACAAGTGTTTTTAAAATAATTTTTCTTCCACAGAGAAGAAAAAAAGATTGTGATACAATCTTTATACCGGAAATTCTGTGTCTATTTCCATTCGGATGGATGACGTGTGAATATAAGAAATATCATTCAATATCATGTGAGTTATGTTAATCTTTTTGAAGTAAGTTTAAAGTCACATTTATAATAATTTTTGAATCATTATATCTGTCTTATATTTAATTTTTGTATCTATCGTATTCGATAAATTTTTCAAAAAATTATTTTTGATAATTATTTAAGGACAATGCAATATAATAAAATATTTATTATATACTCGATATATATTCGAAATAATCATGGAATAATAAATTTTAATTAATAACGCGATACTCCGCAACATAAGTCAAACTCGATGCAAAGACTTTCACTTCACAATTGTACTTCTAGTAACTCTACTCAACTAACTTGGATACACATCTTTCACGCGATATACAGAGTGTGTTAAAAAATCGAGATGAGAGGGATTTCTTTGTACAAAAATAAATCAAAGAGAATGGCAATTTTTGAGAAAATCGATTATAAAATTTCATTGCTCCTGTATTTTTAAATTCATTTTTCCTAAAAAATAAAATCTCCAATACAAAATTTTGTTATTCTTAACTTTCGTCTTGTTTAGAGCAATATTGTGTGTCTTATTTTTCAAATTATACTCTATATTTTGAGTAATTGTAGATGTTACATTACTGACACTTTTGAAAATAATTTCGCGATAATGCATTACTTTGTATAAATAACAAATATATATATACACGTAATGAATCAATTAATTTGAAACAAAATTAGCAAATATGTACTTTAGATATGTAAAGAACACATAGAAAATATACGTTCGAGGTCATCTTTTGTGATTATCAACAAAAAAAAAAAATTATTCACACCTTTCAACCAGGTACACTAATCACTCTCATTTTAAACGAAAAACATAATATTTTTGCATTTCGTGACTTAATTTCGTTTCTTTCACGTCACAGTGCGTTGCCACCGCGAAAATTTCTTCTTTGTTTCTTTTTTGTTTCAATCACGCGTAATATTTTTTTCTATTTGGTATCCCAGAAACGAACTGAGTCGTATACGGTGATCGTTCTATCTCTTATGCAGAAGAAAATCATTTAATCGCATTGAAATCGTATACAGTGAACTTGTGTGCTAGAAGTGGAAAGTGCAGAATGAGTTATTCCATTGTCTCCCCGTATGAATTATCATTTTGATGATGTACATTAGCGTTCACAAGTATTTTTGCAACAACGTCGAATTTTATTAAACAAATTAATCCCTTGTGATATTTTTAATTGCCTTTTCAATTGGCTTAAACACACGTTGTTTAACTCTTCGTTGTTTTGTTATTTGCTCCCACTGTTACATCGTGGCAGATCACAGATTATATATTTTCGTAAAAGAATTAATCAATTTAAACTATATATATATATATATGAAAACAAATATAGAGAGATATATGCATATATTTTCGAGTACAACAAAGGGCAAAAATTTTCATACATAAGGAAATTTATTTTATAATTGAAAAATTCGATAACAAAATTTTTTGTCAACAGGAAATTTCTTTAAGAGGGTGAGATCAACAAAGTTTCATCGACTTTTCGTGTTTTCAATTATAATTTTCTCCTAGGAATTATTATTTAAAATTAACAAAGAAGTAAATTTTAACAAAGAATGTTATATAATATAAAATTTAAAGTGAAATTTCCCTTAAAGAAGAAAATTGTTTGAATGAAAAATATTGCTTTATCTCAGGAATGTCCAATTAACATTATTTTATTTTACATTTTATTTATATAATAATTTGCTTTAATAATTTTTTCTTTTAATTATATCGTTATTTATTAATCTAAAATATATGCAATTCCTAATCGTTAAACTTCAACGAATTGAAAATTAAAATTAAAGTTTAAATTTAAAATTTTATCATAAAATTGCTTTTTCAAAATTGAAACTGCAATTCCTATATTTCTCCACTTATATTTTTGAATGGTAGTGTACGTACTTGTTTATACAATACGTGCAATATCCATTATGCACGCTAGTGACCACGGGTTAATCGTTATCGAAATAACTCGTAGCCTTTTCACGGAGGAAATTTTTCGAAAAATGGACGGATCAAAGAAGAACAACGAACGAATAACATATTTATCGCGTTTCGATTACACAAAAATCTATGTAAAGTACGTAGTATCGTGTAAAGTACTCTTACAGATAATATTTATCTGTATAATATATTATGGATAATCTACTATCGAATTTCAAAGATTACAGATCGTTAAATAGAATTGGGGGACAAACTGTACGAACTTAATATTACTTCGTGTCCAGAATATCAATCAAATTCTGCGGGCTATGATGATTGTACTCGAATTTCAACGTCGTATCTTATAATTCATACGAAAATAGAAGGTGTTTAAGTCATCGATTTTCTAAATTTGAAATTATCTAAAAAATACAGAAAGTTGATTGGTTCCTTATGAACATTGATTTTTCTCAAATAAATTTTCATCCTCGTATGTATGTAATCAATCGATTTTTATGCGTTCTCATTATATGTTTGTTCATTAAACAACAGCCTCGCAGATATCGCAAAACATACTTTTAAACAACGGTTACAGAATTATCGGATATCCGTGGCCAATTATTTTTTTCCAGAGATTTATTTTTTTAGAGAAACTGTATTTTCGTTATTTCTTGAATTCGGTTCTCAGAAAAATATTTTCGATGTAAAAACACGTGACTCTATCGTAATATATTCGTATATTTGTGTATAATTTTATGATATTCGCACGAAAAAAAAAAAAAAAAAGGAAAGAAAAGAAAAGAAAAAGAAAAATGCTCAATAAAAGA